GGGCAGAATTGCTCTTCCCTTCCCTATCTTCCTGTTACGAACCCGGAAAGGCTAGCACAGCCGAGGCGGCAGCACCTGACTTCTGTCCGTCATCACAGCTGCCGTGTCCTTGACACCAAAGTAAGTTCCCTTTGTTAGAACACTAACACCAGCCACACTATAAAGCTAAATAAACTCCACCTCTCTGAAATGGTGTCAATTTAACTCCTTTGGAATTAATAAAATTTGAATTTGTTTCTATTAAAATAACGATACAGTTTCACAGCTTTCAAAGTTTCTTTTTTTTGGAGAGGTTTTTGCTACAGGGCATGTGCGTTTGCCAGACAGAGACAGACAGAGAGACAGAAATCACGCCCCAGGGGGGATGGCTATGCCTCAATCTCTACTCCTCCATTCTCTTCTCACGATCTTGGGCACACATGCACACACGCCCGGAGTGAGTGTTAAGCCACAAGGTCTGGGACTCGAACTGCGGTCAACTACATGAGAGTCCAGTGACATAGCCATTACGCTAACTGCTGGTCCCTCAAAGTTTTCCTACCCTTGAGGATATACATATTATACAACTTACTGAGCTGTTGGAAAAGTCATGACGTAGTTTTTCTATGCAAAAATATGTATGACTTTTCTAGTGACCCAATATTATGGAAACGTCATCTGTCACTAAAACATCTTAATGTGAGGAGGGCAGCAAAATGTATACTGTTGTTTCAGACTTGTATGATGCACTGCAGAAAATAAACCATGGACTCAGTGGGAGACTAGTTACACACGCAGAAAGGTAAAATTATGACTTTTCTATTAAAAAATGAGTATTTGGAAAGAGATGCAGAGCAAGAGCTCTAAGGACAAAGACATATATGGCAAAGAGTTAAATCAAGGCATGAAATTGGGCTTTTTTATTTTTTAAAATGAACATGGACTGTGACAAATAGGTACCAAGAAACTTCCTCCCTTGGGAGGTTAATTTGAAGTAGTAAGAAGTCTGTGTCATACAGTATTTTTAAAGACCATTTTTATTACGTTCAAGTGTAACAGTAACCTGGCATACCTATCAGCAGCATTCTTGCCAAGTACGACTCCTTGGACTTCCTTTCATATAGATAAAATATATACATTTTAAAGGGAGTGGATACTTTTAAGGTACTTCAGTAAAAATTTGTCATCCTAAAATAGTTTGAACTGTCTCCTCTTAATCTGGTCTAGAATACCTCACATAGGTGAACAGGAATTCCAAATAAATGTTGACTTTATTCTCTCTGTTATAAAAGTCTGCCTTTTACGGCACCATTCTCCATTTGGCATTACACCAAGGTCTAATGGAATTACTTTTTATTGCTTTTTGAATATTGACAGTTTATGTGAATTAAAACTACATTTGGGTTGATGGCTTCCTGCTCCAAATTGGTACAAGCGTGCCTCACTTTGTATGGGAAGTATGAGGATTTCTATGGGTTGGAAAATCGATGACCATCACTTTGAGGCAAATCAGTGAGCAAGTCTTGGCAAGGGACTGGCACTTAAATTCTGACAAATCCCTTACCATTTTAATCATTGGTATGAACATAGCTAGGTCACGAATAGTTGGAGGTAGCAGCCGAGTTCTGCTCAGCATGATGCCATGGTCACCATGTCAGTAAGGGTCTAGTTTTGTTCTTGTTTTGATATGAAACTGATAGGAAAATGGTTTGAGTGTTCAATTTTCTGTCTAGCCATTAGTTGCTTTCAATTAATTTGTTGACAAACAAGACTCAAAACTGTTGCTAATTTCAGTTGATAACCACTTGACCTCAGGCAGGGTTGGGAGTAGATGCAATTGTCAACACATTTAATGAAAAGGCTTTGGAAGGAGACCTCAAGATTTGGGTAAACTGTCCATCTTTGCAAATCTTGTTCTTCAGTGCTGGGTATGTATCTTGTCCTTGTATGTATCTTATCTCTGCTTTTAGTCAGTAAGGGTGTATGTGTAGTTTTATTTTGTTCCTCTTGGTATTAGTGAAATACTGATTTTCTCTTTGGCTAGGGTCATCAATTTATAAAACTTGTGGAGCTGAGCAAAAGACTCACAGGGGGTAAAAATTACTCACTATGGAGACCAACAGTGTATTTCAATAGTTATGGCTTCTGAAATATTAAAAAATTTTGGGGGCCAGCAGGTGGCATGGTGATTAAGGCGCTGGACACTTCCATATGGCCCACCACAGTTCGAGTCCTGAACTTGGAGGCTTGCTTTCTCACCCCCTTCCCCCAACTCTGAATGTCTCTCTTTGGTCAAATTAAAATGAATGAATGAATGAAATTAAAAATTTTTATTTCAATAAACAGGGACCAGCTAGGTGGCATGGTGGTGAAGGCAGTTAAACCCCACATGGCTGTGTGGTCCAGACCTGGCAGCTTGAAAAACACTCTAGGGGTAAGAAAACTTGAGCAGAGGGTCATAGATATGGCAGCTGTTAGGATTGGAAACCACACCTGCAGGTCTAATATACACATCTGTTAAGTGTATACGTGGCCAAAGAAGAGGAATCCAAAAAGCAGCTAATGAAACCAGAGCAGCTACCCAAATATTCTGTACCACCTCTCCAATCTAAATATGTCGAAGAGCAGCCTGGTGTTTACAAACAGGCTTTGCTTCCATCCGCACTACAACTAGTCTTTATATTGGCCGGTGAAAGGGTGTTTATATCTTTGTGGAAAATGGGATAATGGATACAGTAGTTTGGAAAAGATGCAAATACCTATGTGAAGAATCCTCGAGATTTTCTTCCGAAAATGGAGTGATTACCGTTTCAGGATTGGTGGGCTTTGTTTCAGTGAGAAAAGGACCTACGTTCAAGAGAATTGCTTATCCACCTGGGACTTGTCACTTTAGGAGCAACGGTTTGCTACCCAGTTCAGTCAGTAATAATTGCAAAGGTAACTGGAAAAAAGGCATATGCTACAAGTCAGCAAATTTATGAAGCAGTTAGATCATTGTGGACCAAAAGAAACCAAAAAGAGTCACTTCCTGAACCTAAAGAAAAAACTAAGCTGGGAAGCTCTGCTGAAATAGAAAGCCCTGCAGAAACAACTCACATCCTGAAAGATCAGTGCCTTTGCCAGCAGAACTCAGCTCTGAAGTAAAGACCAAATCAGAATCCATCTCAGGTGCTTCAGTTTATGCCTGACCCCAAGCTCATGGGTCACGGGCAATCCCATCCAGATGTAGAAGTGTACAGTACTAGAAGCTGAAAACGACTGCAGAGTCTGCACAGAGAACTACAAGATGTGTGAAGTTGTCAATGATGAAAAAAAATCATGTCATGGGTAACTGCCATATGGAGTATAACTAGTTTTTCCATTACATTTTCAATGTAATGGAAAAGTTTGACCAATCACGTAAGTGATTAAAACACAAGCTATAAATACAGTCCAAATAATACTAAATAATTGATGAGGAGACACAGGTAGAAGTATTAGAATGCATTTGACTTTTAAAGGTATTGACTAAAAATGAAAACAATGAACAAACATATAAATGAGACTAAAATCTGGTAATCCTCATGTATATGTGCATACATATGTACATATATACATGTAGATCTGTTCTAGCTTTTCTGAATTTGTTAGATTACTGTGTAGAAAGATGCCTCCCCCCTCTTTTTTTTCATTTCTCAGAGCTGGAATAAAATGTTTGCAGTTTAGGGCAAAAAAAAAAAAAAAAAGGAAAAACGTCTCTGTGGGTGTATGCATGCTCAAAATCCCCAGAATGGAGAAGAGATTGTGACATGGCCATCCTCCCTAAACAGCCCTCCCTGAAGGGTGCTTTCTCACTGTTCTCCCCGGCTGCAGCAAGTGCATTTGCCCTATGGCAAACTGAAACAAAATGTCAGTAAACAAAAGAAAGAAAATTAAATTTCTCTGCATATAGCAAAGAAAAACCTGTTATATTTTGATTTTTTTTTTTTTTTGAGAGGTTTTTGCTATAGGGCGTGTGCACTCGCCAGAAAGTCAGAGAGAGACAGAAAAATCAAGAAATCACCCCCTGGGGGGATGGTCAGAGTACAATCCAGTCTCCTCCATTCTTCTCGGGATTTTGGGCACGTAGGCACGCACACGTGCCCAGCGTGAGTTTAGGCCACTGGGTCTGGGACTTGAACTGTGGTTGACTACATGGGAGTCCAGCGACATAGCCATTACACTAACAGCTAGTCCCAATGTTTTAGATACTTTAAACAGCTAGATGAGAACATGGATGCCAATCTTTAGTACATCCAGATTCTCCTCTATCCCCAGGGGCGTATATTCTGGCCAGCAATCATGACGCCTTGGAAATAGGCTACCTGCAGTTAGACTTTGGGATTTAAAAAGCTAGTGCAGGCTGCCAAATTAAATGGACAAACTTTCATAAATGGCACAAACTCTCCAATACTCTATTTTTCAATTCCTTTAATGCTGTCTAGTTCTGGACTGACTAGAGTGGATTAGAGCTAATCTAAGTATTGAATAGCTCTTCCTATGGATAATGAATAAAATTAAAATATAATGGGTATTTCAAGTATTTTAAGAGATTAAATCTATGAAGATAAGCAAATAAAATCAACGCAAGTCTTCCTACATGGCTATTATAGCTGTTAACGTCAAGTAATATACATAGGAAATTCACTTTGTACATATACTTTTTTTTGGAGAGGTTTTTGCTATAGGGTGCATGCGCTTGCCAGCAACACAGTGAGAAATCACCCCCCCGGGTGGATGGCCACACTGCAATCCCTTCTCCATTCTCCTCTCAGGATCTTGGGCACGCACGCACACTGAGTATAAGCCACTGGGTCTGGGACACGAACAGCAGTCAACTACAGGGTAGTCCTGTGACATAGCCATTACGCCAACTGCTGGTCTCTGTACATATACTTTTTTTTATAAAGAATTATTCTATTATTTTTCAAAATTTGCTATAGGGTATGTGCACTCACTGGAGAAACTGAGAGGAAAAGTGAGAAAGCAAGCTGCCGGGTCCCGGACTTGAGCCGTGGTCAGACATGTGGATGTCCAGCGCCCTTACGACTATACCTCCTGCTGGCCCCTGTACATATACCTTCAAGATAGTTTCTTTTTTTTTTTTTAATATTTATTCAATTTCATTTATTTTTAAATTGGCCAGAGACAGACAGAGGGACAGTAAGAAAGCAAACCGGCAGGTCCAGGACTTGAAATGCAGTCGGCCATATGGGAGTCCACGCCACCTGCTGGCCTCAAGATAACTAGTTCTTTAAAAAGGATGGAAACATAAAAATGTAAAATAAGATTGCTGTAACTGTGTTGAAACAGGTATCTCTTTGTTATAAAGAGAACCGAAATTCTAGGTGCCACTTAGTATTTTAAGAAAGAAAATTACAAAAAAACAAACAAAAACTGGGTGGTAATACTCAAAAAACTAAATTAAAGCAGCAGCTGCTGCTTTTTCTTTTAGAAACATGATCACCCTGAATCACAAACTCAAGGCAACCAGCTTAGAATAACAAGGATTCGGTGTGATAGATTCTGTCATACTATAAGCTGTCACCAATCAGGTAACAGAAACACAAGCAATGTAATTCTTTAATTGAATTTTAAGGCTTTTCCTCACTAAAGGTCAGTTTCACTGTGGTTAAAATTATTTTCTCTAAACTCTCCTTTTGGGAGGATTTGTTACACAGATCTTCTTTTCACCTGCCTTTGTATTTTATTTTACATCAAGACAGAATTTTAGTCTTTATATTCAGAATCCTTTTTAACTGATGACAAGGAAGAAACCTATAGTTAAATATCCCAGAAATTTATTTCATGTTTTCTTGAATACATTTGATATAGAAAGACTTGGATTATTTGCTTTGGGTGCCCCTGGTAAATCTCATGGAGGCACTGAAATATAGTGGGGTGCCAATCTGGAGACATCAGAAATAGAAACCACAAGCCCAATTTTAGGACTGTTCTTAGCTTAAAGATTAGTCTCTAGTGAAATTAGGCCACTCCCTTAAAAAATGCTCAATGTGTTGGAGCGACTGTGTGGAGAACAGCTGGTATTTAGGAGGGCATTTCATGTTCTGGTCTGTTGGAACATTTAAATACTTGGAAATAAAAAATATTCATCTTTGAAGTTTTCAATACTGGAAAACTTTCAAGTCTAGGGTTTATAGCCAGGAAGGGTGGCTTTGTATTCCTTAAATTGGACTCTCTTTCCCACAAAGTTAATCTTCAGTTTTGGCTTCCATCTCTTCTGCATCATCATCTCCATCAACTTCAGCATTTTCTCTCTCAAGCCGCTCCAGCTGCCTTGCAAGCTCAGTCTCATCTGTATCTGTGACTACCTTGGGCTGTGGAAGCAGAAGCATAATTTCAAAGTGAAGTAGTTAAAAAGTTATGAATACAGTATCAATATCATTACTGCCTAGTGTTTTAATTTTAACTCCTAAACACCTTTTTTAATAAGTTTTTTAACTGCCAAAGGGCACATGTGCTGCCAGAGAGAAAGCCAGCGCCCCTCCCCCACCACCGTGGGGCATGGTCATGCTGCAATCATTTTCCCTCCACTTCTCCATCCCATCAGGATTTGGGGCACGTGTGCACATGGACCCGGCATGAAACCCTTTTTTAATAACTCTGATATATCTGCTCACTTTGAGGGCTGACACATCACTAATAAATTCCATTAGATAAATAATGGATGAAACTTAAGAGAACAAGACAGTATAGAAAAGAAATGTGTATTAATATGGATTATTATTTTTCTGTCATCTTTGTGAGTTAAAACTAAAAATATCTCAGTAGCTATGTACTTTCAAGACCACAGTCAATAAAAAAAAGCATTTTGAGCTCAAACTTACTACCCCCTTTCAGAGAAGAATAATTAGACTGTTTTTGATCCTGAGATAAAATTTTAGGCATCCAATATTCATATTCTGATAAGAATTTCTCATTTTTTTCCCCCTTTGGTGTGTGGGGGGGGCAGGGAACCCCATCACCATCAGTGACCACGGACCTAAATGACAACTCCAGAGTAAAATATTCCAGTGCTCAATACTCTTATTTAGTTATAAAAACATCTTTTAGGAACTCTCTAAATTAGTTATTATTTTATGCTTAGCAGAGTTGCAATCCTAAATTTATCTGGTAGTTTAGAATCCAAGCCATTAAAGTTTTTAAAAACTTTAAGAATGAAGTAGAAATTAAGGTATTTCTCTCACCTCCATTTGAACGTTGAACACACCCCTCTTTTCCTCAATCTTTTCTTTGATAACAGCCATAGCCTGATTGAGAACAGAGAGGCCTTCCGTTCTCTCCAGGGTTGTCGTGGTCATCACATACCGAGGAGGAGCTATTAGGTTAATCTGAAGGAAGAAGACAAAAATTATGAATGTACCTATAACTTAAGGATGTTTGAAAATTTCTTATCTGCTGCATTAACCAATCACCCCAAAACTTAATATCCAATTTTGCAGATCAGCAGTTTAGGACTGTGTGTCAATGTGGCGAAAGCTAACCATTAGTAAAAATAGTCTACTGTAATAACAAATACGAAAAATTATGACTTCTGGATAGATGTCCCTAAGGCTGTACTGGCTGCAGTCATCATCAGAACAGATAATTTGTCCCTAATCTAAACTGATGAAGACATCCTTTTTAAAATTATCTTTTTGCTAGAGCACATGTGTACTTGCTAGAGAGGAAAAGAAAATGAGAAAGCACCCTCATGGAGGATGGCCACGCTGCAATCCCTTCTCCATTTTTCCTCTTCTTGGGCACACATACACATGCCCAGCATGTTTTTCAAGGTGCCAAGGTCTGGGATTCAAACATGCAGTCAGGCATGTAAGAGCCAAACACAATAGTCACCATACCACCAGCTAGCCTGAGAGAGATCCTTCTAAAAGATTGTGCATTAACAGTCATCCAGTTTATTTTAGCACTAGTGAAAAATTCAGCTCTAAATTTTATAAAAGTTGTGTCTATGTGGCTGAGCCCAAGGTGCCCTGGGCATTCTGGGCACAGCAACTCTTTACTAGCACCCCTTGTTCTCTCACAAGGGAAATCTCCACCCACTGTGTTGGTAGCAATGGCAACAACAACCTTACAGATAACTGCAAACTTCCCCTAGAAAAACCACCAAGACCTCCACTCAGTTCTAAGAACACAAACCACCTTAGTTATGAAAAATGATCAAAATACAAGGATCTGATTTGGTTTAAGTGGCTACTTCAACAGAAAAGGAGAAAACCAGTTACTCACCTTGATGGGCATGGTTTCTGTAGAACAATTCAAACCTGCTCTCAGGGCTTCTTTTACAGCATCAATGCCCTCATAACCATAACAAGCCACTTCAATATCTAAAATTATAAACATTTAAAAGCCGATACCAAACAATGCAAAAAATATTTAAAGGTTTGAAAGAAATCAGATGATGCCGATACACTAGTATTCAAATATTTATAAAAGTTTTCATCATGCTTCCAATATAAATCAATCTCAGCTATTAACTTTTGCAATTAAAAATATATACAAATGCAGTAAAACTGTATCTTATCCACATCAAGCCAGCTAATAACAAAACTATGAAAGACAGAAATTTAACAAAGTTGTTAAATTCTGGTTATGTTTAGTTAAAAATCCCAATTCCAACTCTGGATGGCTAGTTTCTTATTTGTAAAACAGAAGAGTTTGGTGAAGATGGAACAAAACAGTAACTGTAACTTGTCTAGAATAGTTTAGAAACTGCATACCCTTTAACCCAGCAATTCTACATTTAAAAACATGTGTATAGAGAATGGCTGAGGGAAGGGGAAAGAACATGTAAAAATAGGTAAATACGGAGGCTGGCCGGTGGCATGGTGGTTAAGGGTGCTGGACTCCCACATGGCCGATCTTGGTTTGAGTCCCTGACCTGGAGGCTTGCTTTCTCACTTCCTCCCACCATCCCCCAATCTCTCTCACTCTGTTCCTTTCTGGTCAAATTAAAATAAATAAATAAATGAAGTTAAATAAAATAATACTTAAAAAAAAATAAGTCATAAAAAAAGGTAAATACATATGTATGTATGTATAATGGTGCTAATTTGCAGTTTTTCTTTCTTTTTTTTTTAATTGTGAAAAAACTGGGACAGCCTAAATGTTCATCAAGAAAGGGATTAGCAGGGCCAGCAGGTGGGGTTGTAGTTAAGGTGCTGGACTCCCACACAGCTGACCGAAGTTTGAATCTCAGACTTGGTGGCTTGAAAAATCCACTAGGTACATATGCATGTATGCCCAAAACCCTGAAAGGAGAGAGGACTGTGGTGTGGCCATCCCCCTGGGGGGTGATTTCTTAGGCAAAAATGAAAGAAAGAAAGAGAAAGAAAGGGAAAGTTTATCTGTTCTATGGAATATTACTAAGCCATAGATATTAATGAGAACTCTTATGTTCTACATGGACAGATACACATGATACACTGAGTAGAAAAGGATAGAGAAAATTCTGCACAGTATGATCCCATATAATTTAATATAAATATATTAAAAACATATTTAACACAAATGTATTAAATAATATATTTAATATAAATATATACAATATATATTTTTGACATATATAGGAATTCATATGTAAATGTTAAGAGCATTCTTATTTAGGATGTATAAAGTAAACATGTCTACAAGAAAATATTCCAAATTATTAATAGTTAATCCAGAGGCACAGGAGGATAT